GTGTTTCATGTAGTATCTGTTCATATAAACTTTCTCAACCTATTGAAGCCCAACGTTTCAAAAGGCTCTTATTTAAGAAAACCTTATTTTAATGGCTTCTTATTTTAGTTTTTTTTTTATATAAATTTATTAGAGGGTTGGACTAAGATTAACCCAAAATGTATATGTGTTATTTTAGTTTTTAGTAGTTTGGAGCAAATTGCTAAGTTATTAAATAATATTTTTGCTGTTTTGATTAAATATAAAATGTTAAACAGGTGATTTTTTAAAATATTTTGGAGAATTCTCCAAACAATCAAATTACAATAACAATAACAATAACAATAACAATAACAATAACAATAACAATAATAATAATAATAATAATAATAATAATAATAATAATAATAATAATAATAATAATAATAATAATAATAATAATAATAATAATAATAATAATAATCCAAACAAAACTATATAAAAATAAAATTAAAAAAAAAAACAAAAAACAAAGAGGAGTCACAGACTCCTTTTGTAAATAATGTGGGATCATTTTGATCACACATTGAAAATGTTTGAAAAGAGATCAGAGAACTCATCTATATAAGAGGAGTTTTACAAACTCCTCTTACAAACATAATTACTTGCACATCAATGTGGTCAAGTATTGAGAAGTCAAAAGGTTCTTATTTAAGAAGCTTTAGCGTTGTCTTCTTATTTTAGTTTTTATTAATTAATTAATTTATTTATTATTTATTTATTTATTATTAGTGGGGGGTTGGAAAGATTAACCCAAAATGTATGTGTTGTTTTAGTTTTTAGAAGTTTGGGGCAAATTACTAAGTTATTAAATAATATTTTTAATTTTTTGATTAAATATAAAATATTAAACAGACGAATTTCTTAAAATTTTGGTGAATTTGCCAAATAATCAAATTACAACAAAACAACAACAACAACAACAATAATAATAATAATAATAATAATAATAATAATAATAATAATAATAATAATAATAATAATAATAATAATAATAATAATAATAATAATAATAATAATAATAATAATAATAATAATAATAATAATAATAATAATCCAAACAAAACTATACACAAAATAAAATTAAAATTAAAAAAAAAAAGAATAAAACAAAGGGGAGTCACAGGCTCCCTTTGTAAATAATGTGGGTTCATTTTCATCCCAAATTGAAAATGTCTGAAAAGATAAGCTCTTGAGCTCCTCTATATAAGAAGTACAAACATAATTGTTTGCCCATCGATGAGGCGAGTATTGAGAAGTCAAAAAGTTCTTATTTAAAAAATCTTAGCTTTGTCTTTTTATTTTAGTTTTATTTATTTATTATTTATTAGTGGGGGTTAGGAAAGATTAACCCAAAATGTATGTGTTGTTTTAGTTTTTAGCAGTTTGGAGCAAATTACTTAGTTATTAAATAATATTTTTGGTGTTTTGATTAAAGATAAATTGTTAAAATGGCGAATTTGTCAATAATCAAATAATAATAATAATAATAATAATAATAATAATAATAATAATAATAATAATAATAATAATAATAATAATAATAATCCAAACAAAACGATATACAAAATAAAATTAAAATAAAAAAAATAAAAAAGAAGAAGACAAAAGGGAGTCACGGGCTCCCTTTGTAAATGATGTGGGATCATTTTGATCGCACATTGAAAATGTTTGGAAAGAGGAGCAATGTTCCTCTTACAAACATAATTGCTTGCCCATCAATGTAGGAGAGTAACCTGGAGGGTGTGGTTGAGTGTAAGGAACTCATCCATCGTTAACCAAAGGTCAAGGGTTCATAATTGGATTTGGGAATGGAGCAACCTTAAATCTCTAAGCCAGCTGTCTCACCCAAAAGAGGTGTGTATAATTTAGCGAGGGGATTAGTCTATGTCCGACGGTGGAAACCCTGAGTTTACCAAAAAAAAAAAAAATCAATGTGGGCAAGTATTGAGAAGTCCAGAGTATCTTCTTCTAATCATTGCATTTTAATTAAAAATGAAATGGAAATTAAAAATTAGAGGAAAATATTCCAATAATAATATTCTACATTATCAATAGTAAATGCATATTTTAAACAATAATAAAGGTAAATTAAAAATGGAACAGAAATATTCCAATAATAATATCTACATCATCAATTAAAAATAGAATGAAAGTTAGGTAAAAATATCACTGCATTTGATATTCTAATTGACTAATTGACTGAAAATAAAAAAGAATAATTGGCTGAAAATGAATCTGATATTACGAATTGACTGAAAAGATAAAAGGATAACTAATTGAGTGATATTCTACCATTATATATTTTCACCGAAGTAACCCGTCCTGATGGAGAAGATGTTAGCTCTAGACGAAAATGAACAAGATTGTGTTGTCACTACCAATGTCGTCTACAAAGAGGTTTCAATAATATGTAAATATAATTGGTGATATTAATTTTTTTTAAATGAAAAAATTGCTATATATCTATACAAAAAGATATATCTTCCATACAAATGAATAAGGATAACAATTCATTTCTATAACTGAGTTGTTAGAGAACGTGCACATTTGCCTAATGTATGAAAATACTAAACAATGATAAATAAAATCTTCAAAATTATAGGACCGCATGCGTACACCTAGACATTAGCTATTAATTTGAGCAATTATCTGCACAAATTCAAGCAATGATAATATCAAATTATATAAACAATTCAAATTATATCTTTAATTGACTATATAATATTTGATGTTCTAATTTAAATAATTATATATCGATTTATATTTTCTTAATATATTACAACAAATCTATTCCGTGCATCGCACGGGTGCAAATACTAGTAATAATAATAATAATAATAATAATAATCAATATTATATTCTTCTTTTACTCAACATGTTAAATTACATGTATTTATTTATAAATTGGCTAATTTTTTTATATCAAGAAGGAAGGGGGGAACCCAGTAAAAATTACATCAGACAACTTCTGAAAACTGACGCCAACTTGGAATGCCATCTATATCATCCTGTATTATGCCTAACAGATTGGTTGGAGGATCATTGAGGATATGGATTCCCTTGGGGAGACACTTGGCCCTTACTGCCAAGACATCAGCAAGAAAGTTTTGTTCTCGAGCAATCGGGGACAAACGCCATGCATGGAGTGAACTTGCCTCTCCGATACAAGCAGCAACAAGATTCTGGACTACACTGTTGGAAGTCCGGGTGCCATATATTATTTCAGTGAGATCATTGGAATCGATTTCGAAGGTGATGCTCCTGAAGCCAAGGTGTTTTACCAATTGTATACCTTTCAAGAGCGCCCATATTTCGGCTTCTAATGGAGAGCAGCTTCCGATATTGTACATGTATCCGACCAGCCAATGACCTGTATCGTCCCTGATGACTCCTCCACATCCTGCCTTGTTTGATTGGATGTCGACAGCTCCGTCTAAATTCATCTTGAAATTCCCAGATGGGGGTTTCTCCCAATAGAGCTTAGACCAGAGTTCCTGCGGAGTTGTTCTCCCTTTTGTAAAGGCCTTAATCGTCGCTCCAACCTGTGATTTGATCCATTCGACTTTAAAGGAAAGCCTTCTTTCTACATTGTTAAAGATCACATCATTTCTCCACCTCCAGATCCACCATAAGGTGGTTGCAAATAAGGTGGTCTCGTTGGATGGATGTCTGTTGGTTCCTCTTCCTTTGATTCCTAAATGTAACCAGTCATCGAAAGATAGATTGGTAGCCGATGATAAACCAGGGAGAACAAGATCCAGGACTTCTTTGGCTGCTGGGCAGTCCCGAAGAACATGTTGTGAGTCTTCGATTACGGTTAAACAGCGAGGACATTTGTCACTCTCAGAAAGCCCCCTCTTCCATCTATTACTGTTGGTTAGAATCCTTCCATGTTTCACGAGCCAGATGAAAGTGCAAATCCTATTAGGAACTTTTAGCTTCCAAATTCTTTTCCACTTAACATCATCAGACATGGTAGGAGGCCTCAAGGCTGCATCATAGGCAGACTTAATGGAGAATTCACCCGAAGGTTCATGCATCCAGCCTAGCGAGTCGTTGTCGTCAGGGTTAGAGTTTAATAGAACTGCTGCCAACTTGTCTAAAATTTCTTCTGGAAGCAGATTGATAAGCTGGCTCATAAGCCACCCATCATCAGGATCCCAATAGCTCGAAACGTTCCTGTAAAGATCAGGGAGGGGGATTGGTTCGGATAAAAATTGCCTAAGTGGAACATTTGTCAGCCACTTGTCAATCCAGAAGAGAGTGCTATTTCCATTGTGCACCACTTTCTTGATACCACCTTCTAGGATGTGTTTGGATTTTAGAAGGCCTCTCCAAGTATGTGACATATTTCTTCTTGGCTGCCACAGGGAAACATCGTCACTGGTAACTGAATACTTCGACCTTAACAACTGAGCCCATAGGCTATCCTTTTCGTGAATCATCCTCCATCCAAGTTTAGCCAAAAAAGCTTGATTCATTTCTTTCAGTTTTCGAATGCCAAGTCCACCTCTCAATTTGTTTTGGGTGACCACATCCCAACTGACCAAGTGAATCCTTCTAGAGCCTTTCGAACTGCCCCACAGGAACCCACGGATTTGTTTCTCAATTAAATCAATTATTCCAGCTGGTAGGGGCATAGTTTGCATTGAATAATATGGAATGGCAAATAGAACAGATTGGGATAGAACTTGTCTGCCAGCTAGGGAAAGAGTTCTTGATCTCCAACCCGCTAGCTTGTTTTGAATTCTTCCAAGGATCCCTGAGAAGGTTTGCTTTTTTAATCTGCCATGGACTGATGGCATCCCCAAATATTTGCCAGGATCCACGACCTTTGGAATGCCAACAAGATTAGAAATAGACTCCTGAAGGGAAATTGGAGTATTCCTAGAGAAGAAAATTGTTGACTTTTGAAGGTTCATTTTCTGTCCAGAGCTGGTGCAGAAAGAGTTTAAGCAATTCTTCATTTCCAAAGCTTGATCAATCGTAGCTTCCCCAAACAGCACCATGTCATCGGCAAAGAAAAGATGGGAAATGAGAGGACCTTCCCGAGATGCCTTTATGCCTTTCCAGCGACCTGCATTAATCGAAACATTAATGGCATGACTTAGCCTTTCTAAGCACAACGCAAACAGAAGGGGTGATATAGGATCTCCCTGGCGGATTCCTCTAGCTGGGTGGAACCAGTTGGAATGTACTCCATTGCAATTGATAGCTAGTCTTGGCGTGGTCACACATGTCATGATGTTCCTCCTCCATTGAGTATTGAAGCCAATATCCTGCAGTGTTTCATCTATGAAACTCCATGCCAACCTATCATATGCCTTCTCAAGGTCGACTTTAAACATCATCCATCCCCCAGCGCCTCTCTTGTTGTTCATTGAGTTGAGAAGTTCTTGATACATAATGATGTTGTCAGTGATTTGCCTTTCCGGAACGAAGCTAGTCTGGTGGAGACCAGTGAGCTTCTTGGATGCTTCTTTTAATCTCATTACCATCATTTTTGTTAAAAGCTTATACGAGACATTGCATAACCCTATGGGACGTAGTTGTCTGACAGATTCTGGACTCGAGGTCTTGGGGATAAGTGTGATCATGGTGTCATTGCATGTCTTAGGAAGCACTCCATCTGCAAAAAAACTCAAAGCAAAATTTGATAGGGAAATTCCAGTGATATTCCATGTAAGTTGGTAAAAACCTGCTGTAAAACCATCCGGACCCGGGGCCTTGTTTGGTGCCATCTCAAACATAGCAAGTTTGGCATCTTCGGGTTTGAATGGAGCATTAATCCTTGCCTAATCCTCTTCACTTAGTTCTGGGAAATAGCCCTGTATGTCAGAAGGGGTAATAAAACTGTCATCCGAAAAGGATTTTACAAAGAAATTGAAAATATGGTCCCTAAGTTGAGTGTCCGAGGTAAATTCCTGGCCATTTTCATCCTTAATGCTACTGATGTTAGTCAAGCATCCTTTAGCAGCAGTTGCTGCATGATAGTACCGAGTATTGCGGTCTCCTGATTCTAGCCATTCTTCCCTCGACCGTTGGAACCATATAAGTTCTTCTTGGTATAACACATCTTCAAATTCTGCTCGCAGCTTCCTATCTAATCTAAGCAAATTGGCTGTTGGCTTAACTGTCATGGCTCTTTGCACCCCACTTAATCTAGCCATCAACCTTTTCTTCTTTAAAAAAACATTGCCAAAGGTGTTTCTATTCCAAGCTATCAGGGACTTTGCCACAGAGGCTTTGTTTAACTCTAGATCATTACCTTGGATCCAAACATGGTTAACACATTCAAAAAACTTTGGATGAGTTGACCAAGCCAAATTGAACCTGAATGGTTTAGTTACCTGCATGGGTGGAGGGGGATCCAATTTGACCATAATAGGAGTGTGGTCCGAAGCAACCATTGGCAAATGTTGTACGCACGAGTTTGGGAAGTTGATCTTCCAATCCACGTTTCCAAGGGCCCTATCAAGTCGGGCACCTTTAAAGGATAAGGTGTTAACTCCGTGCATCCAAGTGAATTTGGAACCGGTATAGCCTAGATCCATTAGGCCCTCCCAAAAAATCCAACTTTTGAACTCCGTGCTGCGACACAAGGAAAAATTGTCTGGGGTGCTGGTCTCATCTGGACTCAGGACTGAGTTGAAGTCACCTATTGCCAACCATGGTATACTCTGATTGAAGGCATCGGATGTGAGATCTGAGAAGAGCTTCTTTCGAAGTTGAGCATTTGGGCTGCCATACACTATAGATAGCAGCCAGGTTTTTGTATTTGAAGGGTCAACCTGCAAAGTTATAAACTGGGGGTGGGTTTCATGAATGATTACATGAATGGAGCTCCTCCAGAGTATCCAAATCCCTCCCGAAAAACCCACAGCTTCGACTCTAACCCATTCATCGAAGCCAAAGCTAGAACAAATCTTGTTTGCTTGGGAACCTGAAACTTTGGGCTCAAGAAGACAAACAAAAGAAGGTTTATGAAGACTAATAAGGAGTTTAAGGGTACGGCTAAAAGATCTTGAAGCCGCACCTTGGCAATTCCACACTAAACAGAAAATTAAACAAGGGGAGAAATAGAACAGCGCTCAGGAGCGCATTGGTTCGGGAACCACAGGGCCATCAAGGCCAAATGCATCCATAACAGTATCTCGTTGTTCCACCTGGGCAGCTGATGTTGAAGGGATATCCGGGGGGTCATTTCTAGGTGCAGTCTCCTTGTCAATCAAAGGTGGGAATTCCTGTTGATTCTCGAGGTGGTAAACTGTTTTGCTGGTAATGTGACGGCCTTGGTTCGACCCACGTACAACGGTGCGCTCAGTTTCGGCAGCTGCTCACCTTGGTGTTGCACCCTTCTCACCTCTGCCTCTACTAGCTCCTTGTCGTGGAAGTTCAGAATGATTTCGGGGGTAGTTCTGGACCATCTCCATTTGAGCAGGGCGATTCTGGTTCTGGGGGTATCTTACAGGACTTTTACCGTTACGCCTATTTGTTCTAATCGGTGGAAGGTCCACATTCATATTCTGGATTACAGGGTTGGTCTAGTGATTTGCAATGGGTGGTTCACCTCCGTCTTCTTCCTGGTTCTCCAGTGGTGAAAAGCGCGACTGTATCGCCATGCCATTGTCAATCGTTGCTCCTCCGGACTTACCTCCCGTGGCTGGTCGGTTCCCTCCCCTCCGTGCTCCTCTACGATCCTTTCTTGTGACTAGCATCCAAGAACCGTAGTTAGCTGAGTAATCTTTCCTTGGTTCCTGCACTTCTTGCGGCCTGCGATCCTCACCCACAGCTGGTTCGTGGACGTTATGAGCATTGTCTACCCCACATTGGTTCTCTTTGTGACCATAGAGGCCGCATTTGAAACATACGAGATGCAATCCTTCATACTCTACCGGCCATACTTCTTCCTCGAGGGTAAACTTAGACAGTAATGGCTTAGAGATATCTATCTCGATACAAACCCGAGCAAAACTTCCTTTGGAGATGAGGCTTGTGGTGGAGTCGATCTTAATGGGGCGTCCTACTCTTCTTGCGATTTTCATCAAGAACTGGTCATCAAAATATTCAACCGGCAATGTCGGAAACCTAACCCATGCTAGTATTTTCACAGTCTTGTTGTTCCGCGGGCTGAAGTTTGGAACCCACTCCTGTACTACCACAAAATGATCAAGAACACTCCAAGGCCCTTCAAATCTGGCAAAATCGTAGTCACTTTGAGACTCAAATCTTGCGATGTAGTACTCGTAGTCTAGAGTGATTAAGTCGAAACTGGCCTCTGGTTTCCATATCCTCTGCAGACGTTGTAGCAGGTACGAATAGCCCACCTTTCTGCCTAGAACTCTAATGATAAGTGAGCGACGCCAAGGTCGCCTAATTCTTTCTTTCTCCTCTTCTGAGATCGGGATGACAGGATTACCAGGTACAGACCTATCATCTTCCATGTCCGTATCCGCTGGGTCCTCGTTTTCTGCCAAAGAATCCCCTACTACAGTCTGAGACGAGGCATGAACTGGTGTGTCCGATGGCGTTTTCCATTGCGTCGAGTCTGGGGATAAAATTTCCGCTTCAAGTTGCAAATCCTGGTTGCCGTTCATCATTGAAGATTGGGGAGAAAGTCCCAGCTGTTCTCTTCGTCTTTTGGGCTTCTTGGTATTCCGTTCAGGGATGTCATCTCATCCGGCGACTGATGGGTCGCTGCGGGGGTCGATTGTTCAGACAGCGTGTCGGAGACGGTTTGCATTCTTGGAGAAATCTTGAAGTCACATTTTCACTCTTCAAAACTTACAAAATTCTTTAAATCAATGAGTAAGTTAACGGTGAACTAACTTATTGTTATTATAGTTTAGCATTATAGTATTATTATTATTATTATTACTATTATTATTATTATTATTATTATTATTATTACAATAGTAAATAATAATTATAGTAATAATAATTCGTTAAGGCTAATATGATGCATGATTCCGCGTTTGTGTATGTGAACAATTCGTTCTGTATGTGAATTATTATTGTTAGAATATTAACTATTAATATTAACTAATATTATATTTTTCTTTTAGTCAACATATTAAATTACATGAATTACATGAATCTATTTATAAATTAATATGAATACAATAAATGTTTTCACATTTGGAGGGAAAACTTTTGGGAATTACATGAATCTATTTATAAATTAATATGAATACAATAAATGTTTTCACATTTGGAGGGAAAATTTTTCGGAATTACATGAATCTATTTATAAATTAATATGAATACAATTAATGTTTTGACATTTAGGGGGAAAATTTTTGGGACAATTATTTTGCTTTAATATATATAGAGATAGAGATAGAGATAGTATTATAATTATAATTATAATTATAATTATAATTATTATTATTATTATTATTATTATTATTATTATTATTATTATTATTATTGTTATTATAAATAATAATAGTAATTATAGTAATAATAATTTACCTAATAGGATGATTCCGCGTTTCTGTGTTGTTATTAAGGCTGATTTTACGTTTTGTATTAAGGATTGATTTAATTAAGGTTGATTTAATTTGAATAATTTAATTACGATAATTGAGTTTAATTTAGGGTGATTTAATTTAATTAAGGATAATTATTTGTAATACTAAATATATAGGCTAATACCAAGGACCTTGTGGTCTAATGGTATTTGGTTGCTCCCCTAAGTGGGATGTGATAGGTCCCCGCCTTAATGGAGGCGATTAGTAGTAGTGTGGGTATCCCCCTTCTCATGTAATAAAAAAATATATATAGGCTGATTTAATTAAGGATGATCATTTGTAATACTAACAATATATATATATATATATATACAAATATTCTTCTTTTAGTCAACATATTAAATTAAATGAATCTATTTATAAATTAATATGAATACATTAAATGTTTTCACATTTGGAGGGAAAATTTTTGTGAATTACATGAATCTATTTATAAATTAATATGAATACAATAAATGTTTTCACATTTTGAGGGAAAATTATATGTAAATATAAAAATTTTATTAGGTTTGTTAAATATGGATCCCGCAAAACATACCCCACTCTCTCCTTATCCATCCCCCTACTTTTCCTTGTAGGAATTCAACATTATATTAGTCTTTTTAAAATCAACATTGGTTGCTCATTTTAATTTGAGAAGGGAAGGTTGGAAATTATGCATTTCTGAATACTCTTTTATTGCATAAGTATTGTAATGGCATTATAATTGTTATTCCTTGTCATTTACAGTAAGTCTGCTTGGGCCATGGAGGAAAAGGATAAAATTGCCAAAGATATTACTGAAGTATGCAGCTTCTGATAATTATTCAGCTCAAACTTTTCTTATGCATTGGTCTTCTAATATTTCGTAACTTTGATTCTATAGCTAATAGGAAACACGCCAATGGTATACCTCAACAACGTAGTGGAAGGATGTGTTGCTCGTATTGCTGCCAAATTGGAAATGATGGAGCCCTGTTCTAGCGTGAAAGACAGGCAAATCCTCTATTCATTCCTTAAATGCATTTTTTTTCTTTAATTTTTCCTTTGTTCTTAAAAATTAAAATAAATTTTTAGGTTGATTATCGATCAACTTTGAGATGCTGTTATTAATGCAGGATAGCATATAGTATGATTAAAGATGCTGAAGATAAGGGTCTGATTACCCGTGGAAAGGTTAGTGATCGAAGTGTAGTCTTAACTTCCTGTTGGAACATGGCTAAAAATTTTCAAGGTAAACTTGGTTTTTTTGCCTGAGATTTTAAATGAGAAAACTCACTTGTACTTTGTAGGTGATTTATCGCTAAGATTGTGTTCAACAAGAAACTAAAATTTTTATCATATAATTTTTAAATGAATGACGAGGGAAATCTGCCGTCACTACTTATCATATAATTTTTAATTTGCTGCAGAATAGTCCTCTTCACATTCTCATATTGAAAAACTTGAACTGTGATACTTGAAAGAAAGGATTTCTTGGAACATGTTTTTCTTATTCTCTGTGTGTTCTTCACTGCTACAACACTGATTATGTAGTTATATAATTATAACACACACACACACATTAATGATCAAATGAGAATCACCCCATAGGTGAGAACATAAGAACCAATATGAATGTACACAATCTACTCCAGGGTATAATAGATTGTGTGCATTGTGTCCTTGGAATATTATTGTGTGCATTTATATTGTCGTTCGCAGTTCTCACCTAAGAAGTGGTGGTCACTTGAGCGCGCGCGCGCACACACATATATATATATATATATATAACTTAATCGTCATATTATGATTATTAACTTTTACATGGATTAATTAATACGTTTAATTTTAATTTTAATTTTATATTAATATTAATATAATTATATATATATATATATATATATATATATATATATATATATATATATATATAACTAATTTAAATTTTATTTATTACATAAATTAAATCAAATTATAAACTATACATTTTATAAACTTCATAACTTAATAATATTATAATTATAAAGTAAAAATAAAAATATTACATATAAATTATATCAATGTTAAATAAATTATAATTATATTTCAAACTATGACATATACAATAATAAATATAAAC